ACTTAGTATGTCCTGGTCTAGCCTGTGACTTGGTATGATATGTCCTGGTCTAGCCTGTGACTTGGTATGGTATGTCCTGGTCTAGCCTGTGACTTGGTATGGTATGTCCTGGTCTAGCCTGTGACTTGGTATGGTATGTCCTGGTCTAGGCTGTGACTTGGTATGGTATGTCCTGGTCTAGCTTGTGACATGGTGTGTCCTGGTCTAGCCTGTGACTCGGTATGGTATGTCCTGGTCTAGCCTGTGACTTGGTATGGTATGTCCTGGTCTAGGCTGTGACTTGGTATGGTATATCCTGGTCTAGCTTGTGACATGGTGTGTCCTGGTCTAGCCTGTGACTTGGTATGTCCTGGTCTAGCCTGCGACTTGGTATGTCCTGGTCTAGCCTGTGACATGGTGTGTCCTGGTCTAGCCTGTGACTTAGTATGTCCTGGTCTAGGCTGTGACTTGGTATGGTGTGTCCTGGTCTAGCCTGTGACATGGTGTGTCCTGGTCTAGCCTGTGACTTGGTATGGTATGTCCTGGTCTAGCCTGTGACTTAGTGTCACCATCAGGCAAGTGACCTAACGTGCCCCTTCTGCGTCCACCCCATAGGATGTTGCAAGGATTAATGGGCAGTGTGCTTGGCGCTCCTTTGAGAAAAGAGCTATTGATTGCCACATCTTATTACCAGATTGATATTCATTACAATTCATTACAATTGCTTATTCATTTTCTCTTCCTGTTTCTCAGGGCTAATACCTACCAGACCTGAAGAAGGGAGAAAGTCTTCCTTTGCCACTCTGGGTGGAGTGAATGAGAGAAAGGAGGGAGGGAAGGGAGGAGGACGGTTCTCCCTGCTCCTTCCCTCTAGAAAAACTTGAAAACCAGGGTCAAGGGTATGGCCTTACACGGTCCCATCACCTGCTCTTCCTGCCCTGGCTTCTGTGGTGTTAAGTTTTGTTCTTGCTCAGAGCCATCTCTTGTGGACAGGAACAGAGCCACTCATGGGCGTGCAACTTCCATGGTGCCATAGCACCCCGTGTTCAGAAGCCTTCCATGTTTTCTGTCTCAAATTCTTAATTTCATTTTTGACCTTGTGTTTTGCAAGTGAAGTCTGATGGGACAATGGAGTATACAACGGTGGCCTGGAACACGTGCTGGCCCAGTGCCCATCACCTGCCTCTCCCCTGGACAGGTTCTCAGCCAGGCCCTTATTTGATCCTTCGCCCCCCAGGAACTGTTCAGCCCCCTTTGTCCACCCCTACACTACTACTGTTTGTCTGTATCCCAGCAGGGGCCCGGGTCCAGGAGCAGGGAAGGCCTGAGTCAGGCATGCATGCCTCGCCAAGTCAGAAAGGGCACAGTGGCAGCAGTCCGTGCCCTGGGCTGGCACATAATGTAGTAGGCAAAGGTGGGGGTGAGCCTCTTGTCCACCAGCCCTGATCCAGGCACTTACCATATCCAAGCAGGAGGTTGCAGCATCCTTAGGGGAATAGCCCAGGACCTAAGGGATTGTCTTCTGTGGATAAAGATGTTGGAACCACAGAAAAGAGAAAAGTCTGGCTCTACTTTCCCAGGGCGCACCCCTGGCTGGGTGTGGCCCGTCACTCTGCAGCCGGCGGGAGGGGCAGCTAGCGGTGCTGTGTGTGCCCTTGGTCTGGAGCGCAGGCCTCCAGCCCCTGTGAGACTCTGCCCTCCCCCATGGGACCCCTGTGCCTGAAGGGCATGATATTAAACAAAGCACACCCACCCACTCATTAACTGTGACAGACGTACCAGGAGCAGGTGAAGTGTGAACAGCATGCTGTCTCTGCAACTTTTCTCAGTCTACAACTATTTTAAAATGAAAAGTATATATATATGTATAAAAATATATATATATATATTTTTTTTTAAAGCAACATAACAGGCTGAGAGATTACAGAGAAAAGGAAAAGGAACAAGGGTCATAGTCGGGACCCTTTGGTGACACTTTTCCCCTCCTGTGCTTTCATTTTTTCTGGGCCCTTCCAGTTATGCAGCTGACCCTTCCCATGAAGCCCCGGAGTGTGCAGTCCTACCACCCACTTCTGTTCCTCCTCATGTGCTCCCCCTGCCCAGTGCCAGTGCTCTGGGTTCTTTGCTGCTATTAACAATTCTCCTGTTTATTACCCACTAAGGACTGGCCACCACCCCAGGAACTTTATACACTATATTCTATTTAATATCTGCATAACCTCATGAGACAAGTATTTTTATTCTTATGCTACCGATGTAGGAAACTGGGGTCCAGGACCACGTGGTAAGGGATGGAAGAGAAAGTTAATATTCCTGATTTTGTTTCCAAATCCAGAGCTCTTCCCACAGTGCTGGACATGGACCATGCGGCCTCCAGGTGCCTGGTCATGGCCGATGGCCTGGGCAGGCACTCCGTCTGGTTCCCATTCCTCCAGGTGGTCACTGAGTGTCTGTGAGGGGGAGCCTGGCGCTGGGTGTGGTGGTGGAGCTGTGAAGCCACGGCAGGAACCCTCCTGGTCACTTTTTTTGGCTGTGTCCCTCAGTAGTAGGAGTTTGATGCCCCAGCCCATTGGGCCACTGGGCTCCCTGCCTTAGTTCCCGGGATAAGGCTGTACAACAGGACAGAAAGGAAATCCTACTCTGGATTAAGAACTTGGGGAGTGACAACCTAACTAGTGTAATAATGTAACTTCAAAATGTAGTAGTTTTTGATTTTAGACTATTATGGTTTACTTGAGAAAAGAAGGTAGAGTGAGGTCCTGCTGTATCCTCAGACCTGTCGCCGGCCTCCCCCAGCGCCAGGTCCCCCACTGTGCGATGCTCCATGCAGCAGACGAGTGGATGGCGGCCGTCACACCCAATTGATGTGACTCTTTGAAGAGTCTTTCCCTTCCTTTAAGTACTTCTGGGGGTATAATGACTGTACATGTTTCCTTTGTGAAGCTTGAGTGGAGATCGGATCCCTTCTTTCCTCTTCATGGAGGAGAGTGTGATGTATCATCTCGAAGCCTGTTTGCATATCGGCTGATTCAGAGGCCGAGCCAATGCCACCTCCCACCATGCTGGCCAGCTCTGGCCTGGGTCACAGAGACACAGGCCATGGTGTGGGACACTGAGGTGGTGAGGGAGCAGATGGTGGGAGGATCTGCCTCTTCAGAAGAAGTTTCCTAGGAAAAGGTGCTCTTCTGAAGGGAAACAGAAGAAGGAGAAGGGTGTTTGGGACACACCAGGAGTAAGTGAGGGGACCCTCGTGTTGGGGCCACCTGAAGAGGAGAGGAGAGAGCCAGGGAGGTGTGTGCGGGAGATGTGTGCATGTCTGGCCTGAAGTGAGTTTCATTAAAAACACTCCAAGTCTTGGCTCTGGTTTTTTGAGGAGTGAGAAAAAAATGGAGGACGCTTCCTGAGTGGTTTTGCGGCTTTTCAAGTATGACATACAGGACACTGAATTTAACCCTGTTTGTCCTGAAGGGGCCTCCCTGTGGGCATGAACAGTGGCTATTCTGTGAAATGCACATCTGCGGCCAGGGGGCTGGGGCCGCTGTAGTCCACGCCTGTCTGTTCTCCTTTGAGCCCCAAGTACAGGGCACACGTAAAATCGTTCTTATAATACTAAAAACCATGTGATCTTCCTAGAATTTTTGTATGACTGCATAAAAGAGGGTCTGATTCCGACAGGAATGTTGTGTTGGAACTCCATACAAGATTTCAATCTGCCGTGCCACTGTGCTTTCAGAAAGCTCCCTGTTGTTCCCGCCGCAGCAGTCACGTGGGCAGTCTGCTTCTCACAGCTGCCCCGTGTCTAATTCTTCCAGCATCTGTAGAACTAACTCAGTGTTCATTCACAGAAATGTCTTAAGTCAATAACCTGAATTATTGGTTTAGACTCACAAACATTTGAAAATGGAATTTATGTATATAAAATCTTGAAAACAACATATATATTTACGTGTATTTTTATATAGACCACAAAGACATATGACCTGAAAATCTAGATTCTTAGAGAAACAGACCAGAGTCCCCAGCTTCCTCCAAACTGACAGGTGGCCCCATTCACATCTGCCTCCACCTGAAAGTCCGGTTCGGAATTTCCCTATGATCCTGGCACTTGCAGAGGGGAAGTTTCAGCTTTGTTTGGTATAACAAGAGCCCGCAGGACTCCCAGGCTAATAAACGTGTCCACCTAAAACCCCAGACAGCTCCAGTTAGACTCAAGTCTTATTAGAGACCTTATTTTGCCTCTAATTAGAGGAAAGATTCAGGGACCGAGAGGAGCAGCCCCTGTGCCTCTCGCTCTGCCCGATGTGTTTCCCCACCATCATCCCAATCTGACAGTTTCCCAGAAAGACAGACTCAGACACAGTGGACACACAGTTGCCCCCAAATTCCGACTGCCTCTTTTAGAAGAAAAGCAAAATGAGAAAACTCTTTCCCCATCTCTCCTGGAGACCGCACACACTCCGAAGTGACATCACACGCCCACAGCACCCAGATGACTAAGGCGGAGTGAGCCTGAGAAAACTCTGCCTGTGCTTTGAGGACACATGTATGCAGATGAGCTCTTAAGAGGCGTTCCCGCCTTCTTCCTCAGAGGAAGTTTCTTGGTAGATCACTGACACCTCATCCAGGCGGGGGGTGAGAATTTGGCACCAGCTCCCCCAGGCAGAGCTGCGATTTGCTGTCCTGGTGGGGAGAGGTGGAAGGAAGGAGTCAGCCTGCAGATAATGAAGGAGCACGGGGGCAGCTTCAGCAGCGCTGTGATCGGCAGTGGCAGCGGCGACTCTGCTATGGACAGCCTGCAGCCGCTCCAGCCTAACTACATGTCTGTATGCTTGTTTGCAGAAGAATCATATCAAAAATTAGCAATGGACACACTGGAGGAATTAGACTGGTGTTTAGACCAGCTAGAGACCATACAGACCTACCGCTCCGTCAGCGAGATGGCTTCTAACAAGGTAAGCGACGAGCCTTCCACCCGCTGAGGTGGCTGTGCAGGGCTCTGGCGGCTCTCGCCCCATCTGCAGCGGGGTGCTCCGGGGCACCCGACCAGCCAGCTCCCAGAGAGTATCTGTTGATGTGTCTCAGGAGATTCTGTTCCAGAGAGCCACATTTTGCTTGTGTCTTGATGCTAAACAAAAGTTTAAAATCCTCGCTAAGATTTGATTCCCAGAAACCAAACTTCTGGCTCTTATTGAAGCAGTTTGGAATATGTTTAAAGGGAAAGGTGACGATAAATCTTCCAAACCACCCTACATTTGAAAAATGCCTTTTTCTTTTTACAGTTATCTAAAAAGTAAAATATAAATGAGTTCATCGGGTTAAATGTATGACATGTTCTCTGCAGTCAGTTGTCACATGTATTTTTTTTTAAACAGGAAAATAATTTGTCCTCTGCCTATCAATGGGAGAAAATGGTTTGCCCTCAAGTTTGATAGCGTCTCTCTGAGAAGGACATTCTGAGATTTTATTTCTTTTGTACTGCTGGCATGACCTCAGCTTAAAGAGAAATGCTATACTCGGTCTCCAAAAACAGAAAGTTATTATTTTTAAGTTAGATTGCTTTTCATAGTAGAATTATCTGAAGTTAAATTTCACCCATGCTGCAAAAACAAAAAATCCATGGTTTTATTTATAATGCCCAGACAAAACTTAGTGTTGAAGAGCTTTAATTATCTATCATTATGCCATTTGTTTAATTACCAGCTGGACTTAGAGTGCTAATTTATGTAGTGAGAGTCGTTGCTCTGTTTGTATTTTTATGGTGAAGAGTGTCACATGTGCATAGTTACAAACTCAGTGAAGTTGCATGTGTGAGTATGTGTGCATTTACGCACAGCTCTCTGCGCTGGTAGAGTCTCAATCTCTGATCATTCCAGCCTGAGGCATTCATTATCTTTCTGTCCTGTGTTTCTGGGGCTGGGAAGAGACTTTGCTAACATCTGCTGGCATGCCCCGGCCAGCCCCGAGGGGCAGCAGTGAGTGTGTGTCTCCTGGGGCAAAAGCAGCACCTCCCACCAAGGTCCTGGCTCCTGCTCAGAGAACCCGGTGCAAGAAGCCGAGTCCTCAGAAGGGCCTAAAGGAGGAGATGGGACTCTCTGACTTGGACCCCTTTGTTTCCTGGTTAAGAAAAGGCAAAAAGAAGTCCCTTTCTAAAAATTTTATTTAGAGTTAAATCTGGACTTGGGGAAAACAAAAGAATACATGTGAGATTTAACTGTTTGCTGACTTTTCTCTGAAGCTCTCAAGCAAAGGCTTAAATCAGGGATTTTTTAGGCTAGTCTGAAACCCAACCAACTGCTTCCCCAGGAGACCCGGCCACCCGGCCTCCCAGATCACGCAGGGACACCACGTGAGAGACCCACACGCGGGCTCCACCTGCTCTGTGCGCCACAGACACTGTCCTGCAGTTTGTGATCACTGAGCCCAGGCGGAGTGCAGAGCCAACAATAGAGGGTAGTTGTCCAACAGGGCCTAGCCCAGAGGGTGTGGGAAACTTCTAGAGTCATCAGAATAAACGCAGGACAGTCACCAAGATAAAACAGGCAACCAACTCCAGGAGGAGAGAAAGAACAGCCCCTGATAACCTGTGGATTGCCGTTAGTTGTTCATTCTGAGTGTTCTCTGTATATTACAGTGTCCTAGTGCCATTCGTGTCTGGAGTGCTGAAATTAGACATCGGCTGTCTCACAGACACATTAAAGATGACTTCGTAGTCAGCATAGGAGTTAATGAGGCTCTGAGACCAGGCACAGTGAGGTCCTGGTGAGCATTCCACCCCCTCGGGCTTCCTCGCCTCCTTTCTGGTGTTGTGGGCAGGAAGTAATGAAAGCTAAGCAGAGTGACCCTGACACGGGGCCTCAGCACGGACACATCAGCTTCAGCAGGAGAGAGGCTCACCCACTTCAGACCCACCAGGGAAAGGTTCTCAGAGAAAGCAATTGCCAGTGGGTGGATGACTCCCAACTCACAGATAAAGACAATTTCAATTTTTAGAAAGCTCTTTACTTAGCTGACTCTTTGTAAAATTCTTGATTATTCAGATAATTGTCTCAGGTAAAGCTTAAGGGTAACGTAAATGATGGTATGAATAATATAATGCTTTGAGAATATTCTCTTGGCCACCAAAGAGAAAGTGGTCCATACCCGTTCTTTGGGAAGTTAATTATTTATGGTAAAAATCATATTCTCCATTCAGTTTTAAATGTTGCTGAAATTATTTGCGATTCTCAACCAGTTTGCCACTTACAAATAGCATTGTCATTGCTCTGTAGTCTTACCAGCCGTACTCTGCTTGCCCTCCCAGCCAAGGAGGCCTGCAGATATCTGAGTTAAAGCCATTTTAGAGTGGTCACAGTCAGCAGTGGCCACAGGCTGTGTTCCTAGTTCTATTTCAGCTTAGTGAGCACTTAAGTTTAGTTTACAATGTCTGAATTTACTTAAGAATGGTGTTGTGCTGGGGCCAGGCCAGGTGGCTCATACCTGTAATCTCAGCACTCCTGGAGGCTGAAGAGAATGGATTGCCTGAGCTCAGGAATTGGAGACTCCTGAGTCTGAGCAAGAGTGAGACCCTGTCTCTACTAAAAATACATAATCTAGTCAGGTATTGTGGTGGGCTCCTGTAGTCCCAGCTACTTGGGAGGCTGAGGCAGGATGATTGCTTGAGTCCAGGAATTTGAGTTTGCTGTGTTACTGCACTCCAGCCTCAGGCAACAGAGTGAGTCTGTCTCAAAAAAAAAAAAAAAAAGTTTGAACCTAAAATATTGAAAGAAAGAAAAGAGAAAGGGGGAAAAAAAGGAAAAGGAAGGAAGGAAGGAAAGAAGAAAAGAAGGGAGGAAGGGAGGGAGGGAGGGAAGGAAGGAAGGAAAGAAAGAAAGAGGATCGTGTTGGAAGAGGTAGGGCTGTGCCTGAGGGTGTTAGGGGATTGTGTCTGGGCAGTCTGTGTGCAGCTGGCACAGAGCTGTGTCAGGGGGAGAAGGTGTGAGACGTCCTTCATAAACTTCATCTAGGTAGGCTTGGCTTTTATTGCTTGTTTTCCTTAACCCTTCTACGTTTTGAAGAAAGCTGAGTGATTCAAAGATTGTAACAGACTTTCCCCAAAGTACTCCAGAGCCCAGGTAGCTGGGTAAGAAACTATTCCTGTAACTTACAAAGTCAGAGTCTTGTCTCTGGGCCCAGGATTACCTGGTCCCTTACTGCTGGCCACCGGCCAAAAAGAATTCCAGAATGTTAGAGAACAATGCTGCCACGTAGACTAGTATCATGAATTATGTTTCCCCAAGAATTAAAAATAAAAATGGGGTAAGTCTAGCAGGAGTGTAACAAGTGATGGCATTGTTTTTCAAGAAGAAAAAGATACCTAGTGAGCCTTGTGCCGGATGCCAAGTTTGGTTGGACGTGTTTGAGCCGTCCTGCCTCACATCAAATGCCTTCTTAGATTTGCTCATTAATTTTGGCGATATTCACCACCCCCTGAATTAGAAGAATTGTCTGGTACTTCAGCAGAGTGCATCAGAGCATGAGGTCCCAGTGGCAAAACAGTTAGATGTTTTGAAAACAGGATGCTTCAGCCCTGCGCTGTAAAGAGGAACGGAAAGAGAAACAGTATAGAAGGGGCGACGGTGACACCCTCGCAGGTCCCCAGCCTACAGCAGCATAAACAGTGACCTGTCTTCCTGACCTTCACTGTGGCTCAGTTCCTGGCCTCCTGTCACCAAAGCCAACCAACGTCATCGCAGGAGGACAGGGGGAACCGCGCAGCTGCCGAGGGTGACTGCCGCTTCCTGTCTCCTTCCGGCAGACGCAGTCAGAAAAGTACAGGGTTGCAACAACAGTGGCCGAGGAAGGCCCAGCCCAGGACAGTCCCAGGAGCGCAGCTGTGCCTGCCAGGGAGGAGGAGCTGTCCCTTCCTCCGTTTTACTGAGAAACAGAGTCACTAACTTAGAATTTGCAGGTAACCTAGAATTTGACGACCATTCTTACCCAGCATGTGGAATGGTTTTCGAAGGGCGCTGTGTTCAAGCAGCTGGTCACTGTCTTCACTCCCCAGCGCCCTCCACTGTCCCTTTACTCTCCATTGCTTTGTCCTGGGCCTATGTGCAAAGGAGGACCCTGCACATAGTGCTCACTCTGGCTGAGAAGGGTCTTCAGAATGAAGCATCAGGACCCGGTGCTGCAGTTATGTTTCCTGGGGAACCTCCATGATGGGAAGGGAACTGGGCAGCCCGTGTCTCTGAAGGCGCTGTGACGTCAGCAGCAGATACCGTCTCAGGGAACTGAGTCCTCCCAGCTATGAGGCGTATTCCCTCGTCCCTGAGGCATGGCTGTGCCAGAGCCCTGACCCCTGAGAAAAGGCAACTTGTTGCCTGTGCTCTTGGGCAGGAGGGAACCGAGTCCCACGATCCCTCCAGGTGAGGCTGGTGGACAACCAGGCTGCTTGGCTCTGGAAGTTGATTGGGGAAGGCTGGTTGCCCTACTGGTGGGTAAGGCATTTTCTATTTAACTTGAGTAACTAATAACTTTAGAATATATTAGATTCAGCAGAACTGAAAGGAAATAGATCCTATTGGCCAACAGATTCATCTCAGAATTCTGTGGGGAAGATGGTAGGCAGGAGAGCAAGCCACAGAAGGAATTAATGTCACTTTTGCCCCAAATTCAGTGACACCATCACAGCAGTGTCACCCGTAACACAAGACAGATCCTTTTCCTGGACTTTAGGAGCAAGAGCCTTTGCCCGGCCTTTGTCTAGCTGCTGTCACCCCAGGAATAAGGAGTTTCTGGGTCACAGGGGCAGCTCCTCTCCCCTCTGCAGACCACACTGTCCATCTGCTAGACCCCACTGTTCTCTGCCCAAATGCCTTTGAACTGGCTGACAGTTCTCTTCCTGGACATGCACGGCCTTAGACCTAAGGGAACCCTTGAGGCAGAAATTGGGGAGAGAGGAGGAGTGCGTGTG